CGGTGATGACACGCAGGGAGCTTTCCTGGGGCTCTTATCCTGCTGCCGGGCTGCTGGCAGGTGGGCGGGCCCGCGAGTGTGGGCGGCTGTTGCAGGTGGGGCGGGGCCTGTTGCAGGTGGGCCGGGATGCTGAGGTGGGGGATGTGAGGTGGGTGGGGATGCGCCTGAAGGTGGGGATGCTGGTGGTGGGCGGGGATGCTGAGGTGGGGGGGATGCTGAGGTGGGGGATCTAGGTGGGGGATGGCTGAGGTGGGGGGATGCTGAGGCTTGGGGCGGATGCTTGAGTGGGGGATGCTTGAGGCTGGGGGGATCGCTGAGGTGGGGGGCATGTTGCAGGTGGGCGGGATCGCTGAGGTGGTGGCGGATGCTGAGGTGGTGGGATGCGTGAGGCTGGGTTGGGGATGCTGCAGGTGGGGGATGGCTGAGGTGGTGGGGTGCTGAGGTGGGTGGGGATCTGAGCGGGTGGGGATGCTGAGGTGGGGGATGCTGAAGGCGGTGGGATTGGCTGAGGTGGGGAATGCTGAGGTGGTGGGATGCTGGGCGGGTGGGGCGATGCTGAGTGGGTGGGATGCTGAGGTGGAGGGGAATGCTGAGGTGGGGGGGATGCTGAGGTGGGGGGGGATGCTGAGGCGGGGGGGATGCTGAGGTGGGGGGATGCTGAGGTGGGGGATGCTGAGGTGGGGATGCTGAGGTGGGGGGATGCTGAGGTGGGGGATGCTGAGGTGGGCGGATGCTGAGGTGGGGGGATGCTGAGGTGGGGGGATGCGAGGTGGGGGGAATGCTGAGGTGGGAGGGATCTGAGGTGGGTGGGGGATGCTGAGGTGGGGGATGCTGACGTGGCGGGATCTGAGGTGGGCGGGAATGCTGAGTGGGAGGATGCTCGAGGTGGGGGATTGCTGAGGTTTGGGGGGATCTTGAGGTGGGCGGGAATGCTCGAGGTGGGGGGGATGCTGAGGTAGGGGTATGCTGAGGTGGGCGGGATGCTGAGGTGGGGGATGCTGAGGTGGGGGGATGCTGAGGTGGGTGGGGATGCTGAGGTGGGGATGCTGAGGTGGGGAATGCTTGAGGCGGCTGTTGGCAGGTGGGCCGGGGAATGCTGAGGTGGGCGGGATGCTGAGCGTGGGGGGATCTGAGGTGGGGGTGAGGCATGCTGAGGTGGCGGGATGGCTGAGGTATGGGTGAGGATGGCTGAGCGTGGGCGGGATGGCTGAGGTGGGCCGGGATGCTGAGGTGGGGGGAATGCTGTCTGGTGGGATGCTCGAGGTGCGGGGATGCTGAGGTGAATGCTGATGGGTGGGATGCTGAGGTGGGGGGATGGCTGTGGTTGGGTGGGGATGCTGAGGTGGCGGGATGCTGAGGTGGGGGATGGGCTAGGTGGGGGGAGTGCTGTGGTGGTGGATGCTAGGTGGGCGGGGATCTGAGGTGGAGGGGATGCTGAGGTGGGGGATGGCGGGATGCCGAGGCGCGGGTGCCACACACCACACATTACACATTGCACACTACACGCTGTAAACACGGCCTGACACACTGCATGCGAGACACTGCACACTGCATGCTACGCACGCGTCCCGCACATGGCGTCCTACGCACTGCGTGTCACACACTAGACACTGCACGCTACACGCGTCCCACACACGTCCTACGCACCGCGTATCACACACTAGACATTGCTCGCTACACACGCGTCCCGCACACGACGTCCTACGCACCGCGTGTCACACACTAGACACTGCTCGCTACACACGCGTCCCGCACACGGCGTCCTTCGCACCGCGTGTCACACACTAGACACTGCTCGCTACACACGCGTCCCGCACACGGCGTCCTACGCACCGCGTGTCACACTAGACACTGCTCGCTACACACGCGTCCCGCACACGGCGTCCTTCGCACCGCGTGTCACACACTAGACACTGCACGCTACACGCGTCCCACACACGACGTCCTACGCACCGCGTATCACACACTAGACATTGCTCGCTACACACGCGTCCCGCACACGGTGTCCTACGCACCGCGTGTCACACACTAGACACTGCTCACTACACACGCGTCCCACACACGGCGTCCTACGCACCGCGTGTCACACGCTAGACACTGCTCGCTACACACGCGTCCCGCACACGGCGTCCTACGCACCGCGTGTCACACACTAGACACTGCTCGCTACACACGCGTCCCGCACACGGCGTCCTACGCACCGCGTGTCACACACTAGACACT